ACCCTGTTCCCTTGGACATTGGAGTCCCTGACTATAGACCTCGATAGTATCTCAGATCTACTGTGATGTGCCTGGCTTTGGAGTAGGTTGGTAACAGATGCTGGGTCAATGTGTGTCCTCTTTCAGGGGAGAGGAAGTGGCCCTCAGCTTAGAATCTCCACATCCCCACATGCCACGCCTGCACTGCCCCAGGAACACTGAGTCGGCCACTGAGACCAGCTGTGGTGGCACATGCCTATAATCCCAGCACTGGGGAGGCTGAAAACAGGAGGATCACTAGGAGTCTGAGCTGCGTAGTGAGACCTTGTACCAGATACATTTAAATTTTAAAAATCCCCATATCCAAGTGCCCTGCAAGATTCCTTGCCCAGTCTTTCCTTCTGATGGACCAGACTCTTGAGAATGTCCTGCAGACACCAAGGCACGACGATCCACTATGGGTGAAGGGTGACCTCCTTGGGTTTGCAGATGGACAAGGTGAATGACACTGCTGAGCATCCCAGGACCAGGCATCTAGTTGGGGAGCTCCCACATAACCATCTCACTCCGTCCTTACAACTCTATGAATACATCTAGAGGGTTTTATGATTCCATGTAACAGATGGGTAAACAGAGTCTTAAAAAGACTGTGTGACTGGCTAAAAGATTGACAGATGGGAATGTCTATTCCACTGTCTGTGTTCTAGCCCAGTTCCACTTCACACTGCCTTGGGTGGCATCTCAGGGTTTGCGACCTCCCTTGGGAAGATTTTGGCCACTGCCTCTGCCAGCAAAGTCAGAGGAATGTAAAGGGTAGACTCTTGTGTGCTAGCCAGGCTTTAGGGGGCCAGGGCAGAGGACACACACTCCTGCCCAGCCTCCTGAGTATCATCTCGGATTCATGAGCGGAGTGCTTCTCAGTAGTACTCAGCTGTCTCCCTGATGCAGGCAGGGTTTAGGGAGTCTGCCTGCACCTCTTCGCAGAAATAGCAATGACCAATTCCCTTCCTGACTTTTCCCAACTTGCTGAGGTCAGGAAAGTCACAGCAGGTAGGGCATGAGAGACTGCATGTTGCACAGGAGCTGTGGAGAGTGGTGGGACAGGAGAGGGACAGGAAACATCCACCTCAAAAGTGACTATTTTGTTGACTTGTGGTCCCCATGAGAAAGCGTGCTGTCTTGTTCAGTGGTAATAGCCTTCCAGGCCTCTCTCTCTTTACTTACTAATCTCCTTGCTAACAGGCTCACAGGTAATGCACCTAATTAGAATCTAATGACATTTTGGTGCTTGTATTGTATTTCTATTTTCCACTGTGACAGGTGATAATAATTCTCATTTAAGGTAGTGCAATAATATTTCCTTGCACAATGTATTTGTCTCTGTAAAAAACAGAAGTCGATTTAAAAGAAAATATGTCCAGGGTCTTAAGTATATGACAGATTTCATAAAATTGTTATTTGAGGCACTGACTTTGGTCAAAGAGTAGTTCTTTCATTTAGGAGTCTTTCCTGGAGCTTTCTCTGAGTCTGTTTTCTCAACTATAACAGACAAATTGTAATACCAACAATGGCAAATATTTATAATAATCATGTGTGACATGTGAAAAAAAACCTTGGGGGCCAAGGAAATAGCTCAGTGGCATATGCGCCTACTACTGGCAAGCACAGTGTCCTGAGTTCCATCCCCAGTACCAAAAACAAACAAACAAGCAAACCTTCAATACCTGATCTCTGTGAATTTAGTTGATTGTTCTGGAGCTTAGGAAGTCCAAGATCTATGTGCCAGCAGGTAGGTGTCACTCTCGGGTCTCTTCTCTTGGTGACTGCCCTGTCCATGTGCTCATATGACCTTTGTTTTGTGCAGATTTATGGAGAATGAGGGAGCTGTCTGGTATCGCTTTTGGGGTGATACTGGGAACTGAACCCAGGGGTACCCTACTACTGAGCTACATGTCCAACACTTTTTATATTTTATTTTGCAACAGGGTCTCATTACCCAGGTGGGACTTGAACTTGCAACCCTCCTGCCTCAGTCTCCTTCTGGGCTGGAATTACAGCTGTAACTGAGGAAAGTAATGGAGGGAAATGCATATGAAAGAGTCTGCTTTGCCATGTGACCAGGATGGAAAGAGGCTGACTCTGGGCTGAGCTGTGGGGTTGAAGGTATAGAGAACCCCAAAGGAAAAGGTTTGTTCTGTGACCTCCTAAAATAACCTTAAGCTATGAGGGCCTGACCTCTCAAATTAACCATCCTGGGGAGAAAAGTCACTGGGATCTTACCAATTAAGGGAAACACTTCTTTTAATTTTTTATTCTGAATTATTCAAGGTTACTGTGAATTTTTATGCTGACTCAGTTCCCTTCAGGTGAAGACTTGGACACTAGAAAGGACAAACCCCGCAAAGAGAAAGTGGTCAAATCAGGAAATTTGCTCTTCCTGAATGGAGTCCTGGTGTGGTGTGGGCTTCTTGCTCCCACGGTGGGACTCTGGCTGGCTGCACTCTGCTGGCACCTGTCACACAATGGGCTCCTCACTCAGTGGCCACACCTGACACAGCCTCTGCATGCCCATCTGCCTCAGGATTAAATGTACAGTAAGCCATCCGTGGCCCATCTACATTCCCAGGGCTGAGCATCCTGACAGATACAAATCACCTCTTTTGAAGAATCTTTTGGAGTAGCCATGAATGGGTTCAAACACGAAATCCTCTTGCCTCAGCCTCCCAGTGCTGGTGGACGTGCACCACCACATCCAGCCGATCCTATTCTTTCAATATCCCATTGCTCAAATGACTTAGTTCACCGTCTCTGTTCTACTCAAATTTAATCAGTTTACTGACTGCCATCCCAAAGCAAATCTTATATGTGCATGCATCTGTCTTCAATTTGTTCATTTTAAATGGCTTCTCCATCCCTCTGGGCAACTATTTAGGAGGCCTATTTTCTTCATATATCCCCAGGGAAAGAACATATTGCAACAGACACAATGCAGGAGCAGATTTAAGTAAAAGAAACAAGTGCCTTGTATTAAGCCAGACATTAGATTTTTAGAGACTTAACACTATTTTTTTACTTTTTGAAAATAAAAATTGTTTACATAAATGATTTTGCTGTTATCACAGTTTAATATTTTAAGCATGTTCAGTTTTAATTTAGTGAATACTGTGATGTTACCTACAGTGAAAGCTTTTTGGGATCAATAACTTCTCAAAGTATGAAAGGATCCTGACGCCAAATTTTGAAAGCCACTGGGCTATGTATTTACACAACTGGCAAGGACTTTGCCCAAGTGGTGAGATGTTTGATAATAATCCTTTCCTCTCTGAATGCACCCCCCCCCTCCCCCAGGACTAAGGTTGATCCCAGGCCTTGGAGCTGAGTTACACCACCAGCACCTTTGAGACAGGGTCTCTAGACGTCGCTACAATGGCCAGGCTGAGCTCGAATCTGCGATCCTCTTGCTTTAGTTTCAAAGCTTTATAAACGATGGACAAAGGCTGACCATATGGCCCAGGCGGCTGCAGCTGCAGGACAATCGTGATGGCCGCCTGCGGAAGCAGGAGCTGGAGGAGCCGGTGCGCGGGCTGGAGACCGAAAGAGAGAGCTTCGCTGGGCGCCTGCAAGAGCTGCGCAAGTGGGAGCGCAGGTGAGCGTGGAGAGCCGCTCGGCGATGCGGTCCGGCTCTCGGGGAGGAGCCAACTCGCCCGGCTAGCACGTCCGACCCAGGCCGTTGCACCCGGACGATCCACTCAGACGGCCCGAGAAGGAAGGGGGCGCCAACCATGTCCCGGACAGGGCGAGTTCTCCGGCTCCAACCCTGGCCTGCGCTGGTCCTTCCCGGGGGCGACGGGGCCGCAGGATCCAGAGCGCCCCACACCTTCGCCGTAGAAACGGCCTGTTTCCCTCCGCAGCCTGCAGCGGGGACAAAGCCACACGGCCCCACCTCTACGAGGGGAGGTGCACGAGGCAGTGCAGGAGCGCGCTATACAGAGACTGCCAGAGGTTTGGGAATACCGCGAGCTGGAGCTGGTGCTGGGCAAGGCGGAGGGGTCGGGGTCTGGGGGTGGGGCCTGGTAAGGTGCAGGAGCAACGCAACTGGCCCCTGCAGGCACAGTGGGAGGAGCTGTCAAATCAGGTACCGCGAGGGATGGGACAGCCTCTCTATGAGTTCCTCTCGGAAGACCCGCTCTGGTCCCGTTCCCCAAGCCCCTCCCTAAGAACCTAGTAAGCCCCGCCCTCACA